GACCAGCGGGTGCTCTCAGCACTGGTGGTGGGACTCACCTGCCATGTGGGCTGCAGTACCAGAGCTGACCAGCGGGTGCTCTTAGCAGCCAGAGGCTCACAATCAGCCAAACCTGGGGCTGATTGTAGAAAGGTGTATATAGGGCATGACCAGGCCTGTGCTCTGGGCCTTGGTGTATGGTTTCCCATGAGCCGCTGTACCCTGTGTTCCTGCTTTGTTGCTGACCTGGCTTGATGCTGATCTCTGTTGACCGTCTCCTGTTCTGACTACTGGCTCATCCCTGACTATTCTTCGGCCTACTCCTATGCTGTTTGACCCCCTGTTGCTGTACCTTGGCTTGTGACCTGTTTACTCTTTGCCTGCTGCTCTGTACTGATCTGCCTCCACCGTTACCGACCTGGCTTGTCTGACCACGCTAACTACTCTGCCATCCATCCATCCTGCACGGATCCAGCCGTACCTGCACATACCTCTGGCGGATCCCTCTACCACTAGCAGGTGTACTCAGGGGCCGCGACCTGGTCTCAGTCCTGCGCCAAGTCCATCCCCACCATCAGGGGCTCTGGTGAAAAGGCAGACTGGGGCTTAGACTCCGCGCCCTGGGGAATCCTGCCCTGAGGACCGCTAGAGGTACCACCAAACGGTCATTACAGAACCCTACGGCCGGCCTGACCGTTCCACCTCTCCAGCCCTGACTATGCCTGTGTTCCTGCACCTCCTAAAGATTAGTGGAAGGTTGGTTTGTTCACTGTGCGTTTATATAGTTATATCTGGGTGGCTAATAATAAACTGTATTATATTGTACCTGAGACCTGCATTTCCCTGTGTCAGTCCACACCTTTCTGGTCACTCCTAGATTCCTGACACCCTAACTACTCTTAAAATGATCCCTCCCCCCTTCTAACTCTTATTCTAACTAACCTGTATAAGAAAGATCTGTATACTTACCTATTTTTCGGCTGCCCTGGTTTGGTCATGTGATCTGGCTTTCTGCTATCAGCCAGCAGTGGCCTGAGGGGAGAGGACGGAGTGCTGACAATGGAAGAACAATTAAAGCCTAAAGGTGATGTCACCACTCCCAGGCATTACCAGTGTGTTCTCTCCTCTCCCCTGCAGCCAGCACTGGCTGACATTGGAGATCATGTGATCAGACTGGAGCACCGGACCGGAGCATACTGATAAACATATAGGAAAAGGTATCATCTTATTACATTATTGGGATAAGTCAGCGTAAGCCACTGTATCTTTGGACTCCATCCAGATATCCCAGATTTTTGAGAATTTCTTTGGGCACCCTCTGGATTCATTTGTAAACTTGTAAAGAAGTATAACTTTACTTGCGTAAAAGAGGAAAAGCCCCAACAAGGTTCTCATAGCCCTGGATACAGCCAGGAGATACAGGAGATAGACCAAGCTCAATATACAAACATATAAGGGTATAGAGATGGCCATCTCAGAGTGAATATACTGGGCAACGTTCATCCAGAAATTTTGATAGCGGGATATTCCCAGAAAACATGCAGGAACGTCACTGGATCTTCCAGGCAATGCCAGCATTCAGATGGAAGGGAAGGGTAAATCTTATGTAATTTTTGGGGAGTGAAATGGACTCCGTGTAGAATCCTAAATTGAATTAAGTGGTTTTGAGCAGAGACTAGTTGTTGCATGGCATATTCCCATATATCCTCCTAATCTTCAGAAACCAATTCAGATACCTCCTAATGCCAGCAAGATAGCAATTTGTCAAGACCTTCGTAGGTCGTAGGTAGGCTGAAGAACTTTTTAGAAATTGGAAAGTGGTTTAGTCAAGGTATTATCATGCAATCGGGATTCAATCCCTGATACAGCGAATGTGGCTGGTTGAGTGTGAAATTGCAATTGAAAGGCAAGTGGTGCAATTGTCATGCCTTAATGAGTGATTTCATAGGTTGCATGACAAGGCAAGGAGCTGAGGCACCTCTACAGTGAAGGAAATAAGTATTTGATCCTCTGCTGATTTTGAATGTTTGCCCACTCACTAAGAAATGATCAGTCTACAAATCAAATGGTAGGTGTATTGTAACACTGAGAGACCAAATAGCAACAAAAAATTCAAAAGAAATGCATGTCTAAAATTATGCACTGATTTGCATGTTCATGAGGGGAATAAGTATTTGATCCCCTTCACAAAACATGACTTAGTACTTGATGGCAAATCTCTTGTTGGCAATCACAGGTCAGACGTTTCCTGTAGTTGGCCACCAGGTTTGCACACATCTCAGGAGGGATTTTGGCCCACTCCTCTTGGCAAATCCTCTCCAAGTCATGAAGGTTTGGTGGCTGACGTTTGGCAACTCGAACTTTCAGCTCCCTCCACAGATTTTAAATCAGATTAAGGTCTGGAGACTGGCTAGGCCACTCCAGGACCTTAATGTGCTTCTTCTTGAGCCACTCCTTTGTTGCCTTGGCCAAGTGTGTTGGGTCATTGTCATGCTGGAACACCCATCCACGACCCATTTTCAATGCCCTGACTGAAGGAAGAAGGTTCTCACCCAAGATTTGACGGTACATTGCCCCGTCCATCGTTCCTTTGATGCGGTGCAGTTGTCCTGTCCCCTTAGCAGAAAAACACCCCCAAAGCAGAATGTTTCCACCACCACGTTTGAAAGTTGGGATGGTGTTCTTGGGGTCATAGGCAGCATTCCTCTTCCTCCTCCAAACACGGCGAGTTGAGTTGATGCCAAAGAGCTCGATTTTGGTCTCATCTAACTACAACTCTTTCAACCAGTTCTCCTCTCCACCATTCAGATATTCAGTGGCAAACTTCAGATGGGCCTGGACATGTGCTTTATTGAGCAGAGGGACCTTGCGGGCACTACAGGATTTCAATCCTTGTTGGCATAGTATGTTACCAATTGTTTTCTGCCAGGAGATCATTGACAAGATCCTCACGTGTAGTTCTGGGATGATTCCTCACTGTTCTCATGATCATTGACACTTCAGGAGGTGAGATCTTGCATGGTGCACCAGACCTAGGGAGATTGACAGTTATTTTGTATTTCTTCCATTTGCGAATGATTGCACCAACTGTTGTCACCTTCTCACCAAGCTGGTTGGCGATAGTTTGGTAGCCCAGTCCAGCCTTGTGTAGGTCTACAATCTTGTCCCTGTCATCCTTGGACAGCTCTATGGTCTTTGCCATGGTGGAGAGTTTGGAATCTGATTGTTTGATTGCTCCTGTGGACAGGTGTCTTTTATGCAGGTTACAAAATGAGATTAGCAGCGCACCCTTTAAGAGACTGCTTCTAATCTCAGCTTGTTACCTGTATAAAAGACACCTGGTAGTTAGAAATCCTGCTAAATGATAGGGGATCAAATACTTATTTCCCTCATGAACATACAAATCAGTGCATAATTTGCTAGACATGCATTTCTTTTTGTTGCTATTCTCTCAGTGTTACGATAAACCTACCAATTGATTTTTAGACTGATCATTTCTTTGTGAGTGGGCAAGCATTCAAAATCAGCAGAGGATCAAATACTTATTTCATTCACTGTATTTGCCAGCACACCATGGATCTTCAGATTGAGTCCAAACATTTTATTAAATCAGAGTCCTCATCAGAGTCCCCCTTTATATTAGGTTCCCATAAGTATCCCCATTGAGGTCCCCCCTTACATCAGAGTCCCCCATACATCATAGTCCATCTTACGAGTCCTGCTTCACATCTGGGTCCCCATCTGAGCCCATCTTGCATCCAGGTCCCCATCAGACTGCCCCCTTACATCAGGTGTCCCCTCAGTGTTCCCCCTTACATCAGGTGTCCCCATCAGAGTTCTCCCTTACATCAGGTGTCCCCATCAGAGTCCCCCCTTACATGCATTGATTTCAACAGAGTGCCTCCTTACATCAACTGTTTGCATCAGACTGGCTCATATTATTATTATACAGGATTTATGGCGCCAACAGTTTACTCAGCGCTTTACAATATAAGGGAGACAGTACAATTACAATACATTTCAGTACAGAAGAAACAGGAGGGCCCTGCTCGTGGAGCTTACAATCTAAAGGGAGGGGGAGGTGGTACAAAAGGTGATAGCTGCGGGGGATGATCTGATGGAGGTGGATCAAGTACAGTTTTTAGGTGGAGGTGGGGTAGGCTTCCCTGAACAAGTGAGTTTTCAAAGATCGCCTAAAGGCAGACAGGGTGGGGGCTGACCGGACATACTAGGGTAGGGAGTTCCAGAAAATGGGAGATGCTCTAGAGAAGTCCTGGAGGCAAGCATGGGAAGAGGTGATGAGGGAGCTAGAGAACAAGATGTATTGGCAGGAGCAAAGCGAGCGATTTAGACGATATCTGTGGATGAGGTTGGTGATGTAGCTAGGGGCAGTGTTGTGGATGGCTTTGTAAGCTGTGGTTAGTATTTTGAATTTTATACGTTGGGTTAGTGGAAGCCAGTGAAGGGATTGGCAGAGAGGGGCAGCAGTCGCTGATCGGTTGGTAAGGTGTATGAGTCTAGCAGCAGTATTCATAATAGACTGAAGGGGGGATAACCTGTGTAACGGTAGACCCGTGAGGAGGGAGTTGCAGTAATCGAGGCGGGATAAAACCAAGGCGTGGATAAGTTGTTTTGTGGTGTCATTGGTCAGGAAGGGGCGTATTCTGGAAATGTTGCGGAGGTTGAGGCGGCAGGATCTAGCCAGCAAAAAGGTCTAGGAGTGCATAGTACTGGCCATTGGTTTTAGCAGTTAGTAGGTGATTGGTGAGTTTAGTAGGGCAGGTTCAGTGGAATGTTGGGGGCAGAAGTCAGACTGTAGAAGATTGAGAAGGTTGTTGTCGGTGGGGTAACAGTTCATACAGTTGTGAACAAGGCGCTCCAGAAGCTTGGAAGCAAATGGCAGCAGGAGGATGGGTCTTAAAGTGGAGCTCCACTCAAAAGGGGAAGTTCCGCTTTAAGGACTGCTCCCCCACTCCCCATTAAGGGTTGGCACCTTTGGGGGGTGGGTACCCGAATTTGACAGGTACCCACTCCCACTTCCGGTCCGATCCCAGAAGGTGTTCTCCCTCCCTGTAGTCTTTTGGGACACACGACAGGTCCAAGAAGACTACAGGACCATTCAGGAAGCGCAGAGCTACTCGAGCATGCTCAGTGGGTACCTGGCTGTGAAGCTGCAAGCTGCACAGCTTGGTGCCCACACTGAAGATCCCGACCTCCTGGAATACAGGACGGCCGGTGAAACGGGCTGCGGGGGACACACCACCGGACCGAGGGACAAGTAAGTGGTTGTTTTTTTTTAAAAGTCAGCAGCTACAGTTTGTTTTTTGACAGGTGAGTGGAACTCCACTTTAAGTATGGGGGTAAGCAGTGCATGTTTGAGTGGAGAGTGAGAGGTGGAAAATTAGTGGATGTACTCCCAGAGACCTGGGAAGGGCACAGCTAAAATCATGGGGGGCACAGCCCACCCCAGCACCCCCCATAGATCCAGCCCTGCCTGTAGCACACATTATTATACAGAATTTACATATAGCACCAACAGTTTGTGCAGCACGTTACAATATCAGACATACCAGACCGGATGTCACTCCACTTCCTCAAACTAAACCTTGCTAAAACCGATTTCCTAGTTTTCCCCCCAGCCCGCGCCCCCCCCTAACCTCTCCATCACGCCCAACAACGCCACCATCAGCCCCACCCCACAAGCCAAAGTCCTAGGTGACATTCTAGACTCCAATCTGTCTTTCCAGCCCCAGATCCAATCACTGACAAATTCATGCAGACTCCACCTCCGCAACATTTCCAAAATACGCACGTTCCTAACTCCTCAAACAACAAAGCAACTCATCCACTCCCTCATCATATCACGACTTGACTACTGCAACTCCCTCCTCGCCAGCCTACCCCAACACAGGCTATCCCCGCTTCAGTCTATCCTGAATTCTGTAGCCAGACTCATCCACCTCACCAACCGCTCTGTATCTGCCTCCCCCCTCTGCCAATCCCTCCACTGGCTTTCAATTGCCCAACGCATAAAATTCAAAATATTAACATTGACGTACAAAGCTGTTCATAACACTGCCCCTAATTACATCACCGACCTGATATCCATCTACCACCCAAAACGTACTCTCCGCTCCTCACAAGACCTCCTACTCTCCAGTTCCCTGGTCTCCTCCTCCCATGCCCGTCTCCAGGACTTCTCCAGGGCTTCACCCATCCTCTGGAACTCGCTACCCCAATCCATCAGACTGGCACCTACCCTCCTCACCTTTAGGTGCACTCTGAAAACACATCTCTTCAGAGAAGCCTACCCCACCCCCTGCTAATTGCTGATCTCCTCTGCTCTTCCCACCACTCCATCCCCCACAGCTATTTCCTCCTGTACCACTACCCCCTCACTCCTAGATTGTAAGCTCCAAGGAGCAGGGCCCTCGAACCCCTCGTGTATCGCATTGTATTGTCTCCCACTATAAGCAACTGAGCAAAATATTGGTGCTATATAAATCCTGTATAATAATAATAATATGAAGGGAGACAATACAATTACAATACAATAAAAAACAAGAGGATTAAGAGGGCCCTGCACATAAGAGCTTACAATCTAATAGTGTGGGGCACATGCAGAATCTTGAGGGGGGGGGGTCAACGTCATTGTCGCCTAGGCAAGAAAGATGGAAGTGCACAATTGGTGTATGGAGTTAAAAAAAATTATAACTAATATCCAAATGTGGAGGGGGGGGGGGGGGGGTGGTGGTATACGTTACAGTGTAATATAGGGTGAAGGGCCAACAAATCAAATGAAAACACTGACAATTGTCAGATTTGATATCAGCCGGTTTGACACGTGGACCACCAGCATCCGGATTGTAACATGAAGACTGCCTGAAGCAGACAATGGAGGTACTAATACACCCGATACTTCGAGCAGCCATCAAGGCATGCTGGGAATTGTAGTTCCCCATCTGCAGATGAGCAGGAGATGCGGCACAATACGGCCATAAACCCAGATCAGTGCAGGCCCCCAATGACAGTTAACTCCTACCCCGGGGGGAAGGCCGGTCACATGAAAGTGACGTCAGTGAAGGTCCTTGAGCCCAGCTGGTCGGGACTTCCTGCCGCTCCCCGGGGATAGGATCGCCGTATTTATTATCATTGCAGGCGGCAGCGATGTGCGGGGGGTGTGTGCAGGAGGAATACCCGGACCGGGTGAGCTGTGTGTCTGTGAAGGGGGGGACATCTCCTATAGAAGCGTGTTGTATAGATGGGGGAGGGTTGGTGTCCCTGCTGGGGAGATTGCTCTCACTTCCTGTCCCAGGTGGCTCCATTCCCCAGCAGTGACACAGCAATACATAGTGAGGAGCCTTCACAGCACTGATCCTGTCATTCTATGCCTAGGCTCACTCTGTAGCAGGTCCTGCATGCCATGTTTGCCCGGGCACAGGAGCACATTCATTTCAATGGGGTGCTGTTGCAGGGAAAAAATTGGTGTCATGGTTTTGCACAGACACAAATGCATTGTGTTTTCTGATGCTTGAGGGGCCCATTAAGAATTAATGACTCCCCAACATGTCTGCTAGAGAGCAGCTTCTTTATTCCTGCTGGTTGGTGAATCCATGAAATTTATAGACATCCAGGACGATCCCTACATTGTGAGCCTAGTTTAATGACCGGTTAACCCCAGAAAGCGGGACAGGAAAGGAACACCTTCCCACACCAAACGTAAATGCCGTGCCCATATTTATTTCAGGTACTTATATAGCGCTGTCAATTTCCGCAGCGCTTTACATATATATTGTACATTCACATCAGTTCCTAACCCTCAAGGGGTGTACAATCTAAGGTCTCTAACTCACATTCATACATACACATACTAGGGACAATTTATACAGGGTCCAATTAACCTACCAGCATTTCTTTTGGAGTGTGGGAGGAAACCGGAGTATCTGGAGGAAACCCATGCAAGCACAGGGAGAACATGCAAACTCCATGCAGGAGGTGCCATGGTCTGGAATTGAACCCATGACCCATTTACTGCAAGGCAAATGTGCTAACCACTAAGCCACTGTGCTGCCTTTGTCTGATGTCATATACTGCTGTGACTGAAGAGAAGCCTGGAGTATAGCTTGGAGGATATTGCCAACTTGCTTCTGCAGTCATCTCTTTTGCTGATAACATTCATGGTACAGAGTACTGTACGTGTTTTATTTGTATTTTCAGGGTAACACTTGTTTGGAGACGGGATCTTTTTTGCTGAACTATGTGAGCTGTGCGAAGTGCAATACGAGAGACTTTGTGCTCCTCGCCAATAAAACCAGTGATGAAGAGGATGGAGAAGAGATCATTACGTTTGATCGTGAGTTCCTTTCCTTCCTAGATATACTCTAGAACAGGGGTTAAAATTTCTACTAGCCAGGCACAAACCTTACTCGTGTCCCCCAAGGCGGTGTAGAGCGGGCCTCGTGTCCCCCGAGGCGGTGTAGAGCGGGCCTCGTGTCCCCCCCGAGGCGGTGTAGAGCGGGCCTCGTGTCCCCCCCGAGGCGGTGTAGAGCGGGCCTCGTGTCCCCCCCGAGGCGGTGTAGAGCGGGCCTCGTGTCCCCCCCGAGGCGGTGTAGAGCGGGCCTCGTGTCCCCCCCGAGGCGGTGTAGAGCGGGCCTCGTGTCCCCCCCGAGGCGGTGTAGAGCGGGCCTCGTGTCCCCCCCGAGGCGGTGTAGAGCGGGCCTCGTGTCCCCCCCGAGGCGGTGTAGAGCGGGCCTCGTGTCCCCCCCGAGGCGGTGTGGAGCGGGCCTCGTGTCCCCCCCCGAGAGGCGGTGTGGAGCGGGCCTCGTGTCCCCCCCGAGGCGGTGTGGAGCGGGCCTCGTGTCCCCCCCGAGGCGGTGTAGAGCGGGCCTCGTGTCCCCCCCGAGGCGGTGTGGAGCGGGCCTCGTGTCCCCCCCGAGGCGGTGTGGAGCGGGCCTCGTGTCCCCCCCCGAGGCGGTGTGGAGCGGGCCTCGTGTCCCCCCCGAGGCGGTGTGGAGCGGGCCTCGTGTCCCCCCCGAGGCGGTGTGGAGCGGGCCTCGTGTCCCCCCGAGGCGGTGTGGAGCGGGCCTCGTGTCCCCCCGAGGCGGTGTGGAGCGGGCCTCGTGTCCCCCCGAGGCGGTGTGGAGCGGGCCTCGTGTCCCCCCGAGGCGGTGTGGAGCGGGCCTCGTGTCCCCCCGAGGCGGTGTGGAGCGGGCCTCGTGTCCCCCCGAGGCGGTGTGGAGCGGGCCTCGTGTCCCCCCGAGGCGGTGTGGAGCGGGCCTCGTGTCCCCCCGAGGCGGTGTGGAGCGGGCCTCGTGTGCCCCGAGGCGGTGTGGAGCGGGCCCCGTGTGCCCCGAGGCGGTGTGGAGCGGGCCCCGTGTGCCCCGAGGCGGTGGAGAGGGTGTCTCCTCTCAGTGTAGGAGAGCGGACCTCTCCTGCACGTGTCCCCTCAGCGGCGCTGCCACTGTAATGGCAATGCCGTGGAAACCGGAGGTTGTAAACCGGAACTCCGCTTCACAATGAGGCTTGGAGCGCATGTGCAGTCGCTCCATGCTTCTTCATCTGTGCTCACCACAGAGGAATTTCTGCTCGCATTTGGCTAGCGGGCAAGTGGCTTTTTCAAGCCCTGCTCTAGAATGCAGCCTTAGGTACCTCTGCAACTTTGAGCTCAGCACTAGCCACAGAAGAAAATACAGTTGTGACCAAAATTATTCAACCCCCAATGCTGTAAAGGGGTTTAGGGACTATAGTGTACATTTGGAATTGTATTCAGAATCAAATCCTACAAGGACGTTGTAACTACCCAAATGCAACTAAAATGACATCAATTGTTTATGTAATACAGTAGTAAATGGTTCTTATGTGGTTTCTTCATTGCCACAATTATTCAACCCCTTAAAGACTACCACTCTGAAGAACAGAGGTTCATACAGGTGCTTTCCATCAGGTATTGAAAACACCTGTGGATGTCACCGAGCAGCAATCAAGCATAATAAGCACCAATTAGGCAGCTTTAAAATGACTGTGATACTCAGCTCCTTCTAGACATTTACTGGTGTGGTTACAAACATGGTGAAGGCAAGAGAATGGTCCAGGAAGACAAGAGAAGAGGTGATTTCTCTTCACAGGAAGGGCAATGGCTATAAGAAGATTGCAAAGATGTTAAACATACCAAGAGACACCTTAGGAAGCATCATTCGCAAATTCAAGGCAAAGGGCACTGTTGAAACGCTACCTGGTCGTGGCAGAAAGAAGATGCTGACTTCGACTGCTGTGCGCTACCTGAAGCGTAGAGTGGAGAGAAGTCCCCGTGTGACTGCTGAGGAACTGAGAAAAGATTTGTCAGATGTGGGTACAGAAGTTTCAGCCCAGACAATAAGACGCACACTGCGTAATGAAGGCCTCCGTGCCAGAACTCCCAGGCGTACCCCCTTGCTGTCTCCAAAGAATAAGAAGAGTCGACTGCAGTATGCCAAAAGCCATGTGGACAAACCACAAAAGTTGTGGGATAGTGTTCTGTGGACTGATGAAACAAAATTAGAACTGTTTGGGCCCATGGATCAACGCTATGTTTGGAGGAGGAAGAACAAGGCCTATGATGAAAAGAACACCTTGCCTACTGTGAAGCATGGTGGAGGGTCAATCATGCTTTGGGGCTGTTTTGCTTCTGCAGGTACAGGGAAGCTTCAGCGTGTGCAAGGTACCATGAATTCTCTTCAGTACCAGGAGATATTGGATGGAAACGTGATGCAGTCCGTCACACACCTGAGGCTTGGGAGACGTTGGACCTTTCAACAGGACAATGATCCCAAGCATACCTCCAAGTCCACTAGAGCATGGTTGCAGAGGAAAGGCTGGAACATTTTGGAGTGGCCATCGCAGTCACCAGACTTAAATCCGATTGAGAACCTCTGGTGGGACTTAAAGAAAGCAGTTGCAGTGCGCAAGCCTAAGAATGTGACTGAACTGGAGGCCTTTGCCCATGAAGAATGGGCGAAGATACCCGTAGATCGCTGCAAGACACTTGTGTCAAGCTATGCTTCACGTTTAAAAGCTGTTATAACTGTAAAAGGATGCTGTACTAAGTACTAAGATTGAATGTCACTTGGGGGTTGAATAAAACTGATAATGCTGTGAGCACAGAAAAGACATTTGTGGTTATTTCATTATAACTGTTATGTTATATTTGTCTGACCTACAAGTGCCTCTTTAATGTAAATGTAAGCAAGATGACTGAATGATCAAAAGCAATGTCAAACTGGCCAAAACACTCAATTTCAGTGGGGGTTGAATAATTTTGGTCACAACTGTATAAACTTCTATTTATAGTGCATTCTATTTATAGAGTGTTCTATTTTCTTTATCGTACACCTCACTAACCGTTCTGTATCTGCCACTCCTCTCTGCCAATCCCTCCACTGGCTTCCAATTGCCCAACGGATAAAATTCAAAACACTAACAATAACGTATAAAGCCTCTCATAACTCTGCCCCAAATTACATCTCCGATCTTGTCTCCAAATATCACCCAAACCGTACTCTCCGCTCCTCACAAGACCTCCTACTCTCTAGCTCCCTTATCTCCTCCTACCATGCTCGTCTCCAGAGCTTCCCCCATCCTCTGGAACTCCCTACCCCAATCCATCAGACTGTCGCCTACTCTGCTCACTTTTCGTAGCTCTCTGAAAACCTGTCTCTTCAGGGAGCCTATCCTGCCCTCAGCTATAATGGAATCTTCTACTCTTCCAAACCAGTCCATCCCCCACAGTTACTACCTTTTGTACCACTAGCCCCTCCCTCCTAGATTGTAAGCTCCAAGGAGCAGGGCCCTCAAATCCCTCTTGTATTGAATTTGTATTGTTACTGTACTGTCTTGTGTACTGTCTTGTACCATAATGTAAAGCGCTGAGCAAACTTTCAGCGCTGTATAAATCCTGTATAATAATAATACATCATGGGACACTGAGCAGGCCATAATAATGACTGTGTGGGTTATGTGCCACCTATAGGTGAATGGACACCCAATCAAACAGGAAGTCCTCCCCCATATAACCCCTCCTACTCAGGTAGTACTCGGGTGTTTTTTTCACCAGTGTCTGTAAGGTGGATGTTCACTGAACATGTGCTCTATGAAGCATACTGGGAGGTCCTCAATGATTCTACTGAGAGTCAAGGGCCTCAATCGGATTTGGCTGTTAGCCAAAATGGATGGAACCTGAGCTTCTCTGGATAAGGAGAAGAATCCTCGAGGTTTTGCCTGTAATGCAGCTTTACAGGGCTGGACCCTGCATTTCGGAATCCTGTGCAGTTTGATCTGAACAAGGTGCTTCCAGCAGGGTGCTAAACGGGTCCAAGGCAGTGGCACCCGTATAAAAAGGGGAACCGAGTCCTTGAAGGTCTTTAGGACCTGGCCCGCCATGATGGGTGAAGGTTGGTCCCTGACGAACAGTTCAGGGGCCTGCGGTAGGATATATATATATATTACACATTATCTCACAGAAGTGAGTACACCCCTCACATTTTTGTAAATATTTTATTATATCTTTCCATGTGACAACACTGAAGAAATGACACTTTGCTACAATGTGACGTAGTGAGTGTACAGCTTGTATAACATGTAAATTTGCTGTCCCCTCAAAATAGCTCAACACAGCCATTAATGTCTAAACCGCTGACAACAAAAGTGAGTACACCCCTAAGTGAAAATGTCCAAATTGGGCCGAAAGTGTCAATGTTTTGTGTGGCCACCATTATTCTCTTGGGCATGGAGTTCACCAGAGCTTCACAGATTGCCACTGGAGTCCTCTTCCACTCCTCCATGACAACATCACGGAGCTGGTGGATGTTAAGAGACCTTGCGCTCCTCCACCTTCCATTTGAGGATGCCCCACAGATGCTCAATAGGGTTTAGGTCTGGAGACATGCTTGGCCAGTCCATCACCTTTACCCTCAGCTTCTTTAGCAAGTCAGTGGTCGTCTTGGAGGTGTGTTTGGGGTCGTTATGTTGGAATAGTGCCCTGCAGCCCAGTCACCGAAGGGAGGGGATCATGCTCTGCTTCAGTATGTCACAGTACATGTTGGCATTCATGATTCCCTCAATGAACTGTAGCTCCCCAGTGCTGGCAGCACTCATGCAGCCCCAGACCATGACACTCCCACCACCATGCTTGACTGTAAGAAAGACACTTGTCTTTGTACTCCTCACCTGGCATTCCAAGCGACCAATTTGAGTGTTGGAGCTGTATCCTGTCATCCCTTGCTGAACCAGGCTGTGAGGTCTGTTGTGAGGTGTGGAAGCAGTGGAATCTATGATAGCCTATGGAGGCAATAAAATAGATGCTTTTGTTCATCTTACCAA